CTCATCCGTACTCCCTGTACTCCCCTCAACCAAGCTCTCCTGATACGAATCCGTCATGGCCCACCACTCTCGCACTTTGGGGTTTTCTCGCATCTTCTCCATGTCCCCTGCATAGTCATAGCCTACGTATTTGAAAGATGCGAAGAGGAGATTGTGTTGGGGGTCGTAGTGGATGGAATCTAGATGGGGGGTTAGCTATTGGAGTTTAAGGTTTGATTGGTTGTTGTTTCGAGAATGGGAGGAAGGAAAAGGAAGAGGAGAGGAAGAAGGAAAGGAGGGGAAGAAGGAGAGGAAGCAAGGGAATCAACATACAATCCTCCATATAACACTCTTTAATCTGTTTCAATACCTCGGGCCAAACCCGTGCATGACACTCCTTGTACGATTCCACGCATTCCGGTTTAATTTTCACAATCTGCGCGATGCGTTTTCCTTGATTCTTTAACTTTTGGGTTGGAGCGGGAAAGGTTCCTGAGGGACCGGAGGGAGTGAGAGGGGAGAGGGGAGAGAAGGGATGAGATTGTGAGTGTGAGGATCGGTGGGAGGATTGAGGAGGAGGGTTGCGTGGTGACCACATTTTTGGGGAGGGAGAACGGGGGTTTGTCCACATTTTGGAGGTGATGGTGGTGCTGGTACTGGTACTGGTGGTGAGGAGTATAGAGAGGTGAGTTGGGGTAAAGAAGGAGGTGAGGTTGACGGATGATGGATGATGATGTGGTGAGTGAGTTATCTCTCGACAATGGTGGGAAGATGTCGTGTCGTGATGTATTGTAATGTGATGTGATGAGATAATGTACAATGTACGAAACGTATATAGTAAAGACCAGAAGAAAGTATAGAATCAAAAGAAGCTCTCTCGCGAATCTTAACCCGAGTACGCAACTCCGACGTAAGGTATTCTACAAATCGGCGATATGGTCGGGATTGGATTGATGCGGGGTCTTTTTGAGCTGAGCTTGCTTTCAGTACGACGTAGGTACTTTGACTTGAATTTGTGTCTGTACTCTGACTCTGTCTACTCACTCTACAATAAATAACCTGATTCTGATATCAAATATAACCTCGTTTGCACATTCTACTCGGGTGGAAAATTATCCGGAAAAATACAAGGTCGTCTAGACGTATCACTTGGAACTGGAGATTTATAAACATCAATTTATTTCAATGGAGGACACTTGGATTGTGAGTTGTATACCTATACAGTATCAGAGTACATCTACAATACCTACCTTCTATTTGTTCATCGTCACAACAGCCCCTCATTGCCGATAGGTAGGGATGCAAGGAGATTTCTAATCGCTCCAACCGATTTCTGAGAGGATTCCTCAAACTCCGAAAAACGCAATGGGATTTCTCCACTCTTATGTAGGACATTCAAGCTTTGGATGCTCCGAATTGAATCCGCCCGTGGAAGTTCCTGTTATTTTTGTATGGGATAGATAGGTTGAGCTGGAGCTAAGAGCTATGAGCTATGAGCTATGAGCTAGATGACATGGCATCCATCTGGGTAGGTAGATGGACCCCACGCGTTGGAGCTTTTGGATGATGAGGAGGAGGATGAGGAGGAGGATGAGCTTGAGATTGAGATTGAGAGAGTAGAGAGTAGAGGGAATATATAGAGTAGAGGAAGTAGATAGAATGAAGAGAGTAGAGGGAGTAGAGAGAGCAAAGAGAGTAGAGGGAATATAGGATATAAATTTTACATTACTACATGTGAATTCGAGGGCTTAATCAATCAGTGCATTATAGGATCTCAAGAGAGTATTAGTTGAACAGTCAATTGATTGTAGGCAGAACTAGAAATAAGTACTCGAGCACAGTATTAAGTATTGATATCAGCCTTTACTGTAATCTTGAACTTGTCTTGCTTCCGGTGAGCTCACGTCCTAGTTTTCCAGAGCACTTGATCAAAAAAGAGATGGAAATAAAGGATATATTTCTGTAATTTCTCTAAATATTCTATTCTATATAACCTTATATATTCACCTTTTTGACTCAAGATATTTATAAAAAATACTATTACCTACCTAGGTAAATATCAACATCCATTCCAAACCCTTCATCAAGTTCTCATTCAATCCTCCATCACCAATATCAAAACCAAAACCTCCAAATACAAATTTCCACCACATGTTTTCGCTTACCAAAAGCTTCATGTTGAACCCCACCATCCATCCATATCGTACATCATCATCCCCGCCGTGCCCGCCAAATTTTATTTCCTCAATCTCATCATCTTTTCACGTGCCTTTAATTTTTATATCTTTTTTATGTTTGAATATCATATCATATCAGATTAATTCATATCAAATCACATCATATTCCTAGATACATCAACCATAAACCCTCATCCAATCTCAATTTAAGATTCAAAATTTAAAATCCAATCAACCAACCATCTACAAAAAAACACCACACCAACCTCCCAAACCACCCCCAAATCCCACCACCACACACACATCACACCTTACCAAAGTCAAAGCCAAAAGACAAAAAAACCATGTCCACCACCACCCGTTCCATCCCACCCCTCTTAACACCCTACCTTTCGCTCCCTTCAGAATCCTCTTTGATTCTACTTACAGGTGTATTGGGCGCGGGTACAAATTGGCTTTTACTGAGATATCTAAGTTCGATATTTTCATCTGGGTCGGAGAAAAATGGAGATGGAATGAGTGATGGGGAGGGGGAGACAAAGGTGGTGTTTCTGAGTTTCATGAGGGATATGGGCTTTTGGAGAGAGGGGGCTAGGAAGATTGTATGTTTTTTTCCTACTTTGTTTTTGGTTTATTTTTTCTTTCTGTTTCGGGGGGTATTGGGTATTGGAGGAGAGGAACGAAAAAGATTGTTCGAAGGAGATGTATGAGTGTGAAGATCTTCGAGGAATCTGGGAGTGAGAATGCAAAGTTGTATTTCTTACCTTACCTATAAAATCATTCATCAATTTTCTCAAGCGAGAAGAGAAATCAACAAACATGAAGAAAAGCTTCTCCAACCCTCGACCTCAAATTACTCTCCTCCCACCACCCATTTTTCATTCTTCCACTTCCAATCTATCCTCAAACCCTCACTAACATCCCACCCCAGAATCTCGACCTCGACAAGCTAACCCAACAATCCCGCTTTCTCTTCCTCGACGGACTCAGCTCTCTCCACCTCCCCCAAACCCAACCTCCCGCCCCGGGAGCAGGAATCCCCCTCAAATCTCCCCTCCTCCCCTCCATCTCCCAACTCCTCAGCAAAGCCATCACCTCCCTCTCCTCCACCTCCCACCCCACAAAAATAATTCTCATCCTCGACTCCCCCGACTTCCTCATCGCCAGTACTCCCTCCCCTGAAACCACCACTCAAGAATTAAACTCCCTCCTTCTTTCTCTCCGCTCTCTCCCAACCATCCACTCTACCATCCTCACCCTCTCAATCGATACTCCTCTCCTCTCTTCTCAACCCCAAACACCCCTCGCAACCAATACCTCCGCATTCACCACTACTCTCGCGCACGAAGCAGATTTGATTCTCAGCACGCGACTTCTGGATACAGGCGCGGCGAGAGATGTAAGTGGAGTGTTACGTATTACCGCTGGTGGGAATCCGAGCGAGGGGAAAGAAGGGGTGGAGGAAAAAGAACTTTTGTATTTTGTGGGTGGAGATGGGAGTGTGAGGGTTTTTGAGAGGGGTCAGTAGGTGGAGATGGATGGATGGATAAATATGGAAATGAGGATGGAAAGGAAAAATCATTGTATTTTTATTTTCATTTTTTATTGCGAGGGCTGATGAGTATGGGTTTACCGATGCTGGGCTTCACGACATGAAGTGATGAGATAGATCAATATCACGAGAAGAGCAAAAGAGGTATCGAAAAAAGTATCCAATCCAATCCAATCCTGATCTATCATAGAAAAGCAGAGCAGAGCAGAGCAGAAAATCATACAAACAAATCTCGGTGTCAAAAGATATCAAATCCTCAGTATCCATCTATCTTATTTGGTGGCTATGAATGGACAGATGTAGACATAGACATAGACATAGAAACAGACGAACAAATAAATAAATAAGTAAATAAATAAATATCAAAATGTAAATACAAATACAAATACACATTCGAATATCAGAATCTATCATGTCATATCAAAATCAAATCAGATTATATATATGTAGATATATATATATACACACAAGTATGGATATGTATGATATACCCCATCACCAATTAATATACTATACTGCTACATCACATCATGTTTTCAGATACTACGTTTGATTGTACGTTTCATCATATATTCCCTCCTATTATACATCCATTATGCATCCATCATGTATCCATCATATATCCCCTCCCACACCCATATACCTTTCCAATCCCCTTCCAAATCACATCCCACACCCCCCATCCCACCATACATTATATATCACCTTCCAACCCCCAACCCTCAAATCCCAATACACAATACACAATACACAATACACAATACACAATACAATTCAAAGCCCCCTTTCCCTTCCCTTCACTCTCTATCCACTACCTTCTCTCTCCACTAACTTCCCATTTCGAACTTTCCACTCCCGACTTTCCACTCCCAACTTCCAGATTTCCCTCAACTTCGAGTAGAGTTAGCTGTCTACCTACCTACCTCTACCTATCCATTCATATCATATATCAGATCATACCATGTACCATACCATACCATACTATATCATACATACCACATGCACCCTACACACCACTTACCATCTACCCAGACACATCTATGCGTAAGTAAACATTAAGGACAAGGATGGTAAAACAATTGGTCTGCAAAAGAGAAATAGACATTTGTACCATTCGTCATTCCTCACTCATCATTCATCATCCATCTACCTTCGCAATATCAAATTCCCATTCACATTCCCATTCATCACAAAATCCATAATCCAAACCCCATATACACTTCACAAACCCCAAACCTCACATATCACAAAGAAAGAAATAATTCTCATCATCACAAAATTCTTTGAATTGCAAACGATGGAATTTTTGCTAGAGAACATGTCATGTAATGTCATGTCTTTAAAAAAAATTGGCATGCACCCAACCCACTTCATACCCTCATACGATCCACGAAGACATTCATGCGACCCGAGTTTTTTGTCGAACTTCGCATACACTCATTAAAAAAAGATTTCTCAATAAATGTAGCTTTCATTCCCAGTTCTCTAGCAGATCAAAAAAGCCATTCATTCGCCAACCCTTTCGACGCTATTGAATCCATCCCACGCAAGCAAACCGAATTGTTGTAAACATTTACTCGGATTTGGTGGCTGGTCCTCTAGCTCCCTTTGGTACACCGGTTTGGAATCCATTCTTGAATCTTCTTGGAACTTCCTTCATGTGACGCATGCGACCGGTACCGGTGGTCTTTCTTCTCTTGGCCTTCTCACCCCAGTTATCTATTTAATGATATATTAGCATGTATTCGTTGTATGGTTCATCTTTTCATTTCTCCTTGGTGTATCGATGAACTGGAGGTAGGAGTATATCGTGTATATTGCTGAATCGATTTGGTGGTAAAGATGAATGGATGGAAAAACGTACATTGACGGGTCTTGGCTGCTGGGTAACCGCATCCTGAACAGGTGTGCTTTTGGATGTGGAGAGATCTGCGACCTATGAATTGAAACCAGAATATATCAGCCTTGAATTCTTCTTCTTGAACCTCTTCCCAAATCCATAAAAATAAGCCCTTGATCAATTGTCCATCTCCTGATCCCCGACTTCATTTCCTCCTCTCTCTCCATCCCAAAGAATTGGATTCAAAACTAACCGCAACGTCTGCACAAAGTGTGCGTCTTGTTGTGACGCTTTCCGAAACTGGAAGTTCCCTTGGCTGTAATTCAAATCATCATCAGTATTGAGATCCTCGTTGGCTGTTGATATATAGTATATCGAGATTCGAAGGTTACGCACTCATTTTGAATTAGGAACTGTGGAATTAAATTGTCAGCGATTGTCTAGATAATAAGACTTATGATGGCACACAAATTGGCGATAACGTACCTTGGGGTTGTCGTGGGGTTGTCGTTGGTTTCAATATCTCGACTTTTTTTCGATGAGCAATGCAGGCTTAATCGCGAAATAGTGGGAAATTTGGAAAACCCTAACTCGATCATGTGATTATCGAAGCGAGATATTGAGGACCGTGCAGGGTTGGAATTTTGGAGATGCCTCAGAACCTGAACTCTTATCATATCAATCTTCAGTCGACAGTGAGGTCTAGTGAATGTATATAATGTAAGTATGAAAATGTAAAGCAAACGTTCAATATAAGAAAAATTAAATGTCACATTGTCGTTTTATTAAGAATGATTACATTTTCAACAGTTCACAACATTTTTTCAATTTCAAGGGACTTTTGTAATGACGCTCCGCTGGCCCTCCGGGGCCACTGCCGTGGAGGCAGAACAAAAACCTTCATTCTTTGCTGTCTTTCCCATTCACTCAAGATCACTACCATGAGAACAGAATTGATGAAAGTAAAATCAAATCCATTATCCCTCATCTTTCGACACGCTCAGTCTCTCCGCCGCCTCCCTCACCCACCCAGGGCTACTGCCGTAGAGGCAGAGCTTACAAAAACCAAGATATTGTTTTTCATTCTCTGCTAATTCTCCTATTTATTCAAGACTATCACTATCAAGACAACCCTGACAAAAATGAAGTATCAAAAACATCATCCTCCATCCTCCGCCGCCTACCCAGGACCACCGACCGCCGTGGAAGCAGAACTCTTGAAAACAAGCGAAATATCAAGAAAAGGGATCTCCTCTACTACTCTCCACCCTTTCCTCTCTACTCTCCTTTCCCTATCATCAATCATCAATCATACACTACATGTTTATCATTTCCATCATATCATCTCCTTCTCTATCCACCTAAAATCCAATCCTCGTATAAAAATAAAAATAAAAGTGTACAATATCCAATATCCAATATTCAAAAGATTCATCTCAATCCAATCATTTCCTATTTCCCATCCTTCTACCTACTCGTGCCACAGCCATAAAAGCAGAACTTTCGACGATAAAACATGAAATATCAGGAACGATATTTCTCTCCCCCTCTCTCCCCTCTCCTCCCCAAAGCCACTGCTCCAGAGACAGAACATTCCCAAGAGATATCTCCAACAGAACACATTACACAACACTCAAACCCATCATCCCAGAATCCAGAATCAAGATTCCTACTTAGATTCAAAATCGAAATCCCTTTTTGAAGGGGTTTGATTCCAAATTTCCAATACATTCCATCCATTCATTCGTGTTTCCTCTTCCCTTCTATATCTCCATCTAATAGCCAAAATCAAGAAGAAAGAATCCGAATGCGAATATTCTATATGACTCTCTCTCCTCTCTCCCTCAAAACCCACCACCGCCATAAAACCCCCTTCATAATTTTCTTTCTAAATTCTCAATTCTCAATTTTCAATTCTCAATTCTCAATTCTCAATTCTCAATTCTCAATTCTCAATTCTCAATTCTCAATTCTCAATTCTCAATTCTTTCCCCTCCTATCCTATCCTATACCATACCAATGACATCCTTATTCCTCATTATCATTACTAGTATAGACAAGGAATGAATAAATAACATTAATATCAGCATCAACATCAACACCAAAGCTTCAAAAGATTCATCTTGAATTTCTATGTACTCGACTGTGTATGTATGGCATGTGTGTATTCTTCCTCTCCCTCCCCTTCCATCTCCATATTCATCTATCCTATCAAAAGAAACGGGTATCTAAAGTCTTCATCTCCATCTTCATCTCCATCTTCATCTCCATCTTCATCTCCATCTTCATCTCCATCTCCATCTCCATCTCCACTTCCAACTCATCCAACCCCCAAGCTCTCATCCCATACTATCCAGACTCTTCTCTCTGTCTATCAGTACATTATGCTCCTTCTATTCTATCCGGCCGTTTCCCATGCACACATGAATGAATAATCTATTAACAACCCGCTCAATCCATATACACAACCTCCCTCTCCATCTCCATCTCAAAGTCTTCTCCTCCCCATCGTTAAATATATAAAATCCAAGAACCACCCATGTACCATACCCCTACCCTCACATGCAAGAACTCCGACGCCGTTCCTCCCCAATATATCCCCCTCTCAATTCCAACCATTTTAATCTCCCTCCCCCCCTCCCTTGAACAACCGCAAATTAATTACAACGTAATCAAATCCACCTCCGAGAAATCCGGCGGGTTCCTCCCATACACCACTCTCCCCTTCGCATCCAACGCCGCTCCCACATTACTAATCCAAATATTCGCTCCTGCATAATCTCTCGTCCTCCTAACCTCATCATCACTTACCCCAATATCATCTCTTGGGATCCAAACCACCGGTCTTCTAGCCCTCAACGCATAATGTTGAAACGCATGTTTAACAAGAGCATCTCTTTCTTCCGGTGCCAAATCTTCAATTTCATCATTATACCCACCATAAAGTGCATTTGCGATCTTTTGCTGTGCTTCAATGTCTCTATGGCGTCGTTTGCGCGTGAGCTGTGGACGAACAACTGGTTCATCGATAGGTTGAGGGCCATCGGTGCCAGTTCCACGAGCAAATGTTTTGTGTCGAAGATTTCGACCGGATTGTAAAGCCCAACCACCAGCTACAGCAGCACCATGTACAAGGTTTGATGGTTTAAGTTTGGCAAATTTACTACCGCTGTTTCTATTTGTGGTCGTAGGATGTAGTGCGTCCATTTCAATGTATCCTGGTCCTTCAATACCAGCTCCATCATTCTGTGGTACTGTTTCAGGGTCTGCAATAGTGAGACCAAGACGTTCGGCTTGTATCCGATCAAATGCTTCATCACGAAGAACAGCTTCATCCTCAAATGTGATTGGTAGATATCGAAGTAAAGGACCAAAAGACCAATTGAGAAGGAATTGGTAAAGAGCAGTGAGTAGTAAAGCAACAATCATGATGATTGCCTGAGGAGTAAGTGAATCACCTTGCTCATCCTGAGTCAAGAAGAACAAACCGATGAGGCACAATTCCATAACATATAAACCAGTAAATGTCTGATTTATAGCACGTGGGTATAGAAGTCCTCCTGTATCAATCCTGAATCGAGAGACATAAAGCATGTTGTAACGATTCGCAATCCAAAGAAGTGTGAATGTAATGATGACGAAAATTATGATGACCGGCGTGACCACACAATAAATTAAACCAATACAGGCAAAATTAGTGTAAACCGGGAAAAATGATCCCCATGTCACAGATGGAAGTGTTGTATTCCTGGTCCACTTTTGTCGAGCAGTATTATCGAAAATCTTTGGTAAAACGAACCAGAAAATGAGAGTCGTTAACTGTAGGAGTGTACCCGAGCTCACAGAAAATGCCTGAAGAATCATGTAGGAGAAGAAATAATTCGCTGCCTTTGGTAATTGCTGTGCAAGTGTTTCGGGTATAGAGGTAATATCATTGGACCATGATCCAATTGTAGCTACCGCACCACCAGCGATGGACACAACCAAGAAAACTTGGACAAAGAGAAATGCAAAATAATAAGTTTGAACCAAACCTTGCTTTTCATTGCCAGTTTGTGAACCTTGAACAAAGGCAAGATATCCCAAAATTGTTGGTACCAAGGATAGCAAAATACTGAGCACAATGGCGGGCAAAACACCTGCTACGGCTTGAAGAACCTTTTCGGGTATAACCTTAAGCCAATGAAGCCAAGGTTTGGTATTGACCAGAGAAGATATCTGGGATAGAGATGATGTCCATGCGACAGGAATCGACCATAAAATAATCATACCAAGAACGACAGCAGTAATGACAGCGGTCCTGAGCCAAGCCTCCCACCATTTGATAGACATGTTATCCCAAAGGACATCGTTAGGTGAAATCTCAACAGTACGTGGTGCCATTTGCTTTGGAACATGGTAGGTAACAGACTGACAAGCCATATGTGCAGCTACTTGATGATTGAATTGAATAAAAGCCGAGTTCATGAGAGGGAATCTCTCAGGAGACTTTTGGTCCAATTCGATCTCAAGATTTAGTTGAGCGAGCTGTTCACGACACCAATATATCGTATCGACTTTTGGACTGATTCCAGGAATGCCAAAGAACCAATCAGGAGTCCAACTGAACCTGGCCAATCTATGTGTTGGCCTATCCTTTTCCTTTAGATAGCGCTGCCAAGCTGCGGTCGTTGCATTTTCCTGATATTCCTCGTTGAAAGCCTTGGGATATTCTACACCTGGTCCATCGTCTGAGTTTAGGAAAGGTACGATATCCTTAATTACCTGCCACGCACTCTTCTTTGGCGGGGCACCGGTTGCAACCCTTGACTTTGGCCCATCGCCTTGAGTTAAAGGAAATTCATCATCATCTTCATATCCTGTTGGGATTGGAGATGGAAACCCGCCAGCGGGACCTTTCCAGAATTTCCACCAATTATTGGTTTGAAAGGCATCATTGGTTCCATCTCCTCCATATTGAAAGCCATTTCTTCGTACTGTGTTGCCTTGCAACTTTCTATCCCCATCATAACTTCGAGGATCACGGTCGGATGTTGACGGGCGCTCTTCTGCTTGCTTCTCAGTTTCCCGGCTCTTTTCATCATCCACACCAGATCCATACGGTTTCGGAGGTGGTGGTCGTTTTCTATATCTTCCATATTGATCATATTCGTCATCCTCCGTTATCGATGGTGCGTCAAGACTTACGAACCCATTACCATTCGTTTCTTCAATTGTATCATCTAATTCTCTGCCAAGTCCTAAAACGCCCCCAAAAGCAGTACCTCCTGCCTTTCCTACGGCGTCGACACCTTTGTTTAAGCCTTGTCCAACTACCTCGAAACCTTGTCCCATAGCGGCGAGGGGGTTGCCAAGCTTGAATTTCTTCGAACTGTGTCGCTTATGTTGTCGAGCTTCTTC